TGGGAGATAAGGATTGTATGTGTGTGTGTGTGTGTGTGTGTGTGTGTGTGTGTGTGTGTTTGTGTGTGACCTACTTCTTGTTTTTGGTGGAGTAATAAGGAAACTCATAGTCAGGGCTTTTGTGAAGGGCTTATTGTTAACAACTACATCCACACTCCTAATAGGCCAATCCATTTCGAGAAGAATAGCAGGAAATAGAAAGTGGTTGAGTAAGCTCTAGGCCTGCTGCCTCACTCAAAATGCTGTTTCAGAAAATATGGTAACTTTTCTGTGGTGCCATTTATTGTTATCCACAAACCTCAAGTGGCTCACTTACACACTGACATAATTTGACAGCTGTGTCAAAGCTTATTTATTACAGCTTACAGTGACTTATTATTGGGGTCACTGTAAGTAGGGGCTTTTTAGTGACCAAGAGGAGAGGTTTTCTATATTGTCTCCATCAGTGGTTCCCAACCTGGGGGTCACCAAAGCTTCAAGGGGGTTGTGGGGCTTTCTTGGTTTTAAGGGGGTGTAAGAAAACTTACTTATATACACAGTTTGAGGCACATGGTAGCTAACCTAGTTTGCACCGCATGTAGCCCTTACTGTGGCATATAATATATATATTCGTATATATTGTATTATAATGTACATACATTTTTAGTTTTTATTTATTTATTTTTTTGATTTTTGTATTGCCTATATATATTGTTGTTAGATATTGTAATAGAATACCTATTTAACATTCGCATAATTATTATTTCTATTTATTTACTGTCTTGTGAGCACCTTGATTAACTCATTAACACATTTGCCCCGGGGATCAATAAAGTATGTATGTGTTTTAGCTGAAACTCTGGCATCTGCATCTAGTTGTAGCTGCAGTCTATCTGCAGATGTCTTGGGTCCCCCAGTTTAAATTCAAGACAATAGAAAACAAAAGCATAAGGCAGGTATGATCTGACCTTTGCTGAATGGTTAAGTCTAAACTACATCTTTTTAATCATTAGAATTAGGACCTCCTCACTCCTCACTCTCTCTCTTGTCATTCATTCATTCAGTCTTGTATCAAAAATCATTTAATCTATAGTTTGACTGTCCTGAATCTGCAGCTGTGAGTAAGGTGCCAACAGTGCTCTTCATGGTTTCTTTTGTCTTTACAGTTGATGAGATAAATGCACACACACAGGGAACAGCTAAAGTTAGTTTTGTTGGCTTCAAAGTCCGGTGAATCACAAGGTCTCATTTTCCTGTTGCTCACTCTTTTTCTGCTGACTATAGCAGGTGCTCTGGAACTCACCACACACACACAGACACACACAGACACACAAACACAGAGACACACAGATAGTTCTTGGTTTCCTTCTCTTTCACATATGCAGAGATTTAGTCATTGTCCTTAGAGTCTGAAAAGAGAAATGGCCAGTGACAGGGTCCATGCTGCTTTACCCGAGCCTCCCAGTCAAAATGAAGAGGAGAACAAAGAAGAGAAGGCTTTTGGGAATATTTTTGCAGAGTTGGAATCTGTGGACCTGCCTTTGGGAACCACCTTAAGGTAAACTCATGCAACATTCAGGACACCATTTTTTAAATTGCACCACAATTGATAGTGGCTCATTTACCTGTCCAACAAAGTGAATGATAATAACTTAATATGCACATTGAAAGATACAACCGAGAAAACATACACACATTTTGTATTTGCTTCGAATGCTGAAGATGTAATTGCATTTTTAGGGTAGAAATTAACTTAATCAGCAACAGTCATTGCTTGAGTACTTGCTTTGCCCCAGGTTTTTCCTTGTCAGGCTTCAATCAACTAACCGGTTGAGATTGCTGTGACCATGGGCAGCCTGACGTGAACACAGGATTTCTGCAGGTTTCAGCAGGAGAAATTTAAGATTTTTTAAGACAATGAATGCAATTTAAGACCTATTTTCCATCCATACTGGCAAAAATAGTGCAAAGGATACGAAGGAAAATCTGTATTGGTTCCATATTGGTTTCATATTGTAGTTGTTATGGCATGATCAAGACCAATTTTTTTCACAAAAAAACATTTAAAACAGGGATTGAAAAATGCAACCTCATACAAGAAACAAACTTTTGAAAACTCTGCAGACACACTGGAAAGAAATACCACTGCCTCCTCTGCATGTCTTTGGGTGAAATTAGTCTTTAAATCTATATTTTAATTTACAAGTGACAATGTGAAATAGACATTTTTCACAGCAGCCATTTTGACATGAAATAGATAAACACAGGTGTTACCAGTGATACTAATTAAGGTTCCCTTTCTTTTGAGGTCAAACAGAGTCAGGTTGCTGCTGTTGTGCACGCTGGCTCACTGGAAAGGTTCTGCTATACTAAATGGAACTGGGCCTTATTTAGTATTACTGGTAACACTTGTTAACGCTACTGTTTCATGTCAAAATGGCTGCCATGAAAAAGATTTATAATAATATTCTCTTAAAAAGACTAGAACATAAGATCAGTCAATTATGAGTGTCATTATCACAGTGCTCTTTTCTTATCAAGTTCAGTAAACTGATGGGATTTTAAGTGCATTCATAATGAAGCAATTTAGACAACCTTTCTAATTATTCTCTTATTATGGAAATCAATATATTATAATCATTTAATTATAACATGTCGCTTGTAAATTCTACTATTCAGCAATTTTGGGTGAAGGTTTGGGGATGTGACCAACTTCACTGTAACAAACAGGATGTGTAGAAACTACGCTGCAGACATTACGTTGATTACAGCTGCAGTGCGCCCCCCACAGGCCAGAGCCCATACTGAGCTCCTCCTGTAGCTGCAGTGGTAGCCATAATACACACAACAATCATGGCGGAGAATGAAACCCTGGAGTGTATAACGGAGCACGAGCGGATTTTACAGGAAATTGAGAGTACAGACACGGCCTGCGTTGGCCCCACTCTTCGGTAAGAATATATGGCTTCTTAGAAAGCCTTTACCAATCATAACGGCTGTGTATGTTCACTTGCGTCTTCTACGTTATCAGACCTTTTGTTCATGAGCTAGCTTAGCTATCCTAGCCACCGGCAGGCTAACATTAAGGTAACAAGCTATGTGGTGTTGAAATTAAGCATGAGCCTAACTGGCTTGATAGCTAACAGGCCAACACTGAGTAGTATTCCAGCCAACTGAATGCAGCTATAGTAAACCTGCTTTTATGTGTGATGTTCCGGGTTGTTGAGGGACGGACGGTGATCTGTCAAAATGTAAACATCATCTGTGGGTGTGGCTGTAGGTTCCACATCTTGTTATTATGCAGCTATCGTTAGCTAACGATGCTAAACGTTTTGGCTAGCAGAAATGTGAAATTGAACGTGTTGCTGACATTATGTTATACCATAGTTTGATGCGTCGTCTTGGCCCTCTTGTGTTTCAATGTGGTTATCAAATAGCTCGATATTGAATTGCCTAAGCAAACTGTCTGTAGCACACTGATTGTGTCCGGTAGTTAGCCACCAAGCTAGCTTCCAAGGCCACAATGAATGACATCAGTTTAAGCTAATGTGTAACTGACTTGAGCATTAACGTTAGCTGAATGCCTACAGCTCTCACAGACACCTGTTTATTAGACATGCCTGCAGGCCGTGGTTGCCTTTCAGCATACCTGAGTAAATACATGCCCTAAAGCTAACATTAGTCACTTCTCACTTTGTTTCAGTTTCAGTGATTCTTTTATGATGTTATCAACACTGCCATTCTTTTGTAAAGCTTACCTAGACAGTGTAGGTTGGACCACATTCACAGTAGGCAAAAGTGGCCAAAATCAGATTTCTTTTGCTCATTCAGGACTCGGTTTTGATTTTTGCATGAACAGCACAAATCGCATCAAATCAGATCTTTTCTTTTCTGATATGGACACTTTCATATGTGGTCAATATTATTATTATTATTATATGGTAAAATAATGTGCTCTATATGATTTAGGGATAGGGCAGCTACTCACACCCACAGTCTGGAATGGAGACATTCTGAGCCTGTTAACCCATGATATTAACATGCTTCTTGGGTGATCTGATCATGAGTGGACAGCTTCAAATACGTCGCTTCACACCTGGCATTTGAAGGCGTTTTCACAGTGACTACTTGTAAACAGATCTCACTTCCTTGCTGTATATGCAAATAAATGCAAAAGGAATGTACCCTACTCAGAAGTTTGTGTTTTTCAGTTCAGCGGCACACTGACTCAGACAGATTTTTACCTGTGTTGTCTTTTACTTTCTCTGACTGTGTGTAAATGTGATGTTTTCACATCACAGATGATGAATAATTCCTGAGAAAGTGTGTGTCCTGCGCACCACCGAGCATGTCTCCTGCCAGGCTCCAGCCAACACGCTGGGACAAACAGACACAATGTTTGTTACACAAAGAATAAAATAACTTTATGTATAACATTTGCTGAATTTACAAGAAGGCCCAAATAAACAATAATTTATGATAGACAGAGTTTCATAAAGTTTATCCTCCCTCAATAACCCTCAAAATTGTGTGGTTTTTTTAGGAGAGTATGGGGACATTGCAGTTTCTAGTTAAATGGTGAAATCATTTAAGATTGACAGTGTGTTCATAAACATGTGCTGCTTATCTTGGCAGGTAAGTGAGCCTTAAAATGTAATTTGCATTACAGTTAACCACCCGGCCTCCCTACCACCAACGTTTCCTGATGGTATATGATGTCTTCATACTTTTTACTGCTTGCGTTTCCATATGTCCTCTTTACTCAATACAGATGGTTTGCTTATTGCAGCTATAGTGTGGGCAGTCTCAGTGAGAGTAGCCTGACAGTTGCGTATCTCCTTCCGAATGTGGACTAATACATGGCTAGATGAAAAGAGGAAGTCATAAAAGAGTTTTGCCTGATGTATCTAGGGCTCCAAATCACCACTTTATAGGCCTGTGCCATCATAAACCTAGTGAATGTTTGTGACACACCAGGGGCCTGTATCATAAAGCATACTTAACTTACTATGGCTGTATTTGAGGTATCTGGCCTTTTAATGCTTTTTTAAATACCTCAGGTTATAGAATCATTAGGTCTCAGTAGGTAAAGACTTGTAATGCCTTTGTTCATCATATGTGATGTAATCATATTAACATATTAGCACACAGTCAAAGACATAAAAAGTACGTGTGGTGGTCATAGTACAGTAAAAACCCTAGCCCATCATAAAGAGTCTCTCCTGATTGGCTGCTGACAGTGCTGCCGACTCAATAGTCAATCAGCTGACTTTGCTAACATTCAGTACTGGAGATTGTCACTGCTCTGCTCTATTCTAAATTTATTCTAGTAGTTAGTTTCTTAGGTAAGACAAGACTTGGTTCATAAACGTGTATAGCATGTCATGCTTGTGTCCTGTGTTGCAGCTAATGATGTGAATCATCCACTTTTAGGGGGCAATGCATGCAGCGTACAGCATAATATTTTGGCCATTGGCCGACCAAAGATCTTGTGGAAGAAACTGCAGCAATAACAGACAAACTGAGTTGAAACTGTGGTATCCCTTTTACCTGTCTATCTGTGTGAGTTACTGGTTTTAGAAGTTGTATATATGAGATTTAAAACATGAATATATGAGATGTTGTTCCATAGTGCGCCACGTTGAACCGTCATGTTTCTACAG